TTAATCTCTTCCGGCCGATATCGTGACATTCAGATATAGTACATATAAAGTTTATTTTCGAAAAGTGAAGATATTTATTTTAATTAATAAAATAATCGATATATACGTTCTTAATCTAATATTATTGTAAAGATATCTTTCAAGTTATTTTTATTTTAGAATATATCACCTTTAAATAAATAATTTTCTCCAAGATTTGTGAAAGACTTAAGTCATAGGTCGGTTTCCCCAAACATTCGGTATTTGAATTTTATTAAGTTATATTTAATAATTTTCTTAATAAACTATTTGACATGTTGGCTATCAAATTTTGTAATAGGCAGAGTATATAAATTTAATTTTCTTTTTTTTTTAAAAAAAAAAAAATCAAAAATGAGATCTTAGATTTAATAGTGTCTCATACATAGTACCAAAATAAAATAAATATTTTCCCCTTTTTAAATTATGTTAACGTTCAATAGTGGATGTTTTTTCGCAACTCAATTTGAAATATAACTCATGATAGTTTTACGGACATATACATAGAGTATATATTTTATTTGAATACAATTATGTATAAAGATGAAAAAAATACATATGATACAATATATATTTATTTATATATGAATTTTATGAATTAGAATCGGTTCTTGTTCGGTTCCTCGGTTCGGTACAGTTATTTTCGGTTCGGTTCGGTTCTCGATACGGATATTTTACGAATCTCCAGAACCGTACCGAAAAAAATTTCGGTACGGTTCGGTTCGGAGATAGTCAAACAGTCAACGGATATTTTTCGGTTCGGGATGAATTCGGTTCGGTTTTTGGTACGGTTCGGTAATCTCCGAGACCCGTGCTCAGCCCTACTTCTAGTACTCCGCAGACGCAACCCAGACCGGTCCACTCCACAGCCTCCCCACGCTCACATCGGAGCCGCCGCACCACCGCACGAACGCCGCCCGAGAACCTACCTTCCCAACACTAGGAAAGGCTGGAAAAGGGGAAAACCAAGACAAGTTCGCCGCCCCGACCATCGCGAAGACTAAAAAAAAAAAAAAAAAATTATGTGAAATATAAAATATACACCGCCTTATCCTTAATTAAAATGTTCATACTGATTTAAGGATAATTAAAATTGTTTCTAAGTCCAAGTCGTATTATGTTATTGAGAATAACAATCCATACAGCATATTGTTGCTACTTGGAAGTTATATACATTGTTTTGTAATTATTAATTTTATTTCTGTCGTTATTTTGCCATTGATCTTAACATTTTTATTCTAAGTCTTTTGTGCCAATACACATTTATTATTAAGAGAAAGCTACTTGAAAAATTCCTTGTTCCTTTAGCTGCAGACAAAAGTCAATTTCTCTTATAATCTTAATGATTCTATTTTAATAATTTTTTGACCCAAACTGGTCCGGGTAGGCTATTTGGATCGAAAACAAAGGACCGAATCAAAATCCGACCAACTCGGCCTTGACTCGGACGACCCGGGACACTGACCTGGCCTATATATATTTTTTAATTTTTGTTGTTTTTTTTTTTTTAAAATAAAACTATGTATATATGTTTATATGGTAACTATTTATGATGAGATACATATTATAAACTTAAATGTATAAATTTTATACATAAAACATTTAATTTTGTTACTGTTATGTATATTTATATGACAAAAATATTATATATATAAATTTTAAATTTTGGAATTAATTATCCGATTCAGTAATTGACCCGGTGACCTGCCCGGGTCAATTACCGAGCCCAGTTTAAAAACTATGATTTTTTTTTATTCTAATAGAGTCCATTTCTACTCCACTTGGGCATTTTTTTTTTTGTCTATTTTTCGTCGTATTCCTACCAGGAAACGCATTTATTCATGTCCACGATATTTTGTAGATTGGATTGGTTTTTTTAGCCATGTATCTTTTCGAAAAATAAAAAATGATCACTTTTTGAGGAAGTGTAAAAAAATTGGTTTTGCTATGAAGTCAACAGTTGGTTTCATAGTGGAGACAACCTTTTATATATAACAAGTAAATCTACCATATTCGCTGATTACTTAAATAAGACTAATATAATTTTATTAATATGGTAGGTTTACTTATTGTATATAGAAGGTTGACTCCACTATGAAGCCAACTGTTGGCTTCATAGCAAAACTGATGATGAAATTAATTGTTTTAGCCCACCAGATAAATTATCTATTCATTTTGACATGTCAGATAGAGAATGTCTCTCTGAAACATATTGCCTACTAGTTCTCTTATAATTAAAGAGTTTTCTTTAACTTGCATAGGATTTGTATTTCATATTAACGTTTTCGCTTTAGCCGTGTCAATAGCCCAGTGATATTTTAGAGGTGCTAATTCAGAGAAGTTTTTTCTCCTACTGAACCAATATCTGCAAATTTATTTTTCAATATAAGTTTTTTTACTTATAATCTGTGTTATGATGACTATTAGTCAAAACATAACTTATAACATATGTAATACTAAAGACTTTATCATCAGGATTCATCCCTTTCAAAGAAATGTATGAAAGATATTTTATCTAAATTAGTAGTTTCAACAGACAAACCAAGTTTAGGATAAACCGTAATGATAAAGCTTCCATAGGCATGATTTTCTCTTGCTGCACCAAATATGCAATTTTTTCTGTCATCGATTATTGTCATTTTTATAGGCGTATCAATCCCCTCTTGGAATTCAGCTTTAAGCAAAATTTTAATTGTTCCTAAATGAATTGTGGTTATTTTCGTTTTTGCAGAAGATAAAATCTTCTTCAAGTTCTTTTGTATTTCTGAT